ACTTATCTAACACACCCTGTAAGGTAACAGGATGTTACTAGATGCAGAGGTACAAAAGATATTAGACAGAGGTGCTGCTCTCAGGACACAGTTTAGGAAAAATTCTCATCTCTACCTGTTTCCTAGGCAAATACAAGAGAAAAGTCTATTCAGATGGATTAATGAATTTTCCTTCCTTCATTCCTTAAATAATCTACAGACAGTGAGTATTTGCTAGGGTCTAGTAAGGGGCTACTTTTAAAGAATGAAGACAAGAGGAGACACACCTTATTATATTTCTTTTTAGTTTATTAAAGAGATATAGATTTTGCCAGGGATCCTTTGGAATGGAAAAAAGGAGAATTCGTTTTTACAGTATCAAAATGGGATATTAGCTCTTTCCCATCTTGCAAGATGGCAAGTGAAAAAACAGATGCCAGATACTAAATAGAAGAAACTTGAAGCCATGAAGGCTGACGCCACTAGTACTGGTAAAAAAGGTAATGTGAAGGCAAAAATGTTCAAGAAGAGGCAGCCCCACTTCAGCTGAACCCCTGTCCTGGTTAGAGGAATTGATAGATACTCTCAATATGTTACGTATTCCAGAAAGGCTCTGAACAAAAGAAAGTACACAGTTGCTAAATTGCTACTGTCACAAAATCAGTTGGTGTAACAAGAATGGTGGTACCTGGATGGTTAAGCTTTGAAAAATACCCAGATACTATGCCACTGAAGATGAGCCCTGAAAGCTGTTGAACCATGGCAAAAAATCCTTCAGTCAGTACATGAGGAAACTGCGAGCTAGCATCACAGCCAGGACCATCTTGATCATCCTCACTGGGTGCTAGAGAGGCAAGAGAGTGGTTTTCCTGAAGCAGCTGGGCAGTGGCTTGCTACTTGTCACTGGGCCTCTTAACCCCAATCACATTCCTCTGTGAGGAACACACCAGAAATTTGTCATTGCCACCTCCTCAAAAATTATCAGTAATGTGAAAATCCCCAAACACCTCACTTATTGCTTACTTCAAGAAGAAGCTGCAGAAGCCCAGACACCAGGAGAGTGAGGTCTTCAACACCGAAAAAGAGAGATACCAGATTTCAGGACAGCACAAAGTTGATCAGAAAGTGGTAGATTTTGCAGAAAATCAACGTACCTCAGCTCCAGGGCTACAGATTTGTTTTTGTTCTGACAATTGGAGTTTACCCTCACAAATAGGTGTCTTAAATTTCTTACCAACAACCTAATGAAATAACTGATACATTAAAAAAAAGATGGGATAGGATAGCAGAATGCAGTGGAGTATTAACTACAATTAACTACAAAGATGGGATAGGATAGCAGAATGCAGGGCAGGGAGAGAGACAGTCTGACTAGTTGATTTACACTTTGTGCATAGACAAAAGTAAAGGGAACTGAGAGATGGAGAAAAGGGAATGATAGAAAAGACAAAAAAATGAGATACAAAATCTATAGCTGTAGAAATGACCAATGAAGACTTCCGGAAGAACATGGTGGATAGATAGCAGCAGCTATGGAGGCTCTCTGAAATACCCTACTTAGAATCCAGGAATGCTGCAGTACAAGGAGTCCTAACAAGGGGAGATACACCCTGCCAACCCACGAATGAACTAAGTTAAGAGAAACCACCTGGAAATCCAATCCTAGTGCTATAACAGGAACAGATAAAATCTCAGCGTGGAAGCTAGAACCTGCACCATTGGAAGCCGTGATTTGAATTTCGTGCTGCTGCTGCATCCAAATCTGCAGGGCATGGAGAGAGACGGGCGAAAGCTCTGAGAGTGGGAATATGTGAACAGAGTTGAGAGCGGGACTAGCAGGGAGCCCTACATCGACTTGCAGTGAGTGAGCAGAATGGGGACCCTTTCATAAAGTAGGAGGCGCCAGCAAAGGACATACTGGGACTGGGCAGACTTCCCAGAACAGGGTGCTGCAGTGACATTAGTTGCATATTCCCCTCTCAAGCGTGATTGGTGGGGAGTGCCTGCCCTGTGTGACGCTGCTGACTAAGACTCAGTAGGCTATGGTAAATGAGGTCCCAGAGCCTGGAGGTGCACCCTAGTGGTGAAGCCTTTAGTAGGTTGACCTGGAGGGCTGGGCCCAGCAGAGGCTGCCCAGGTCTGTGTCTCCCTAGTACACTGCAGTGGGTGGGAACACCTAGCTGGCACAATTCAAACAAACTGTAACCAAAAAAGAGAAAAAAATTTGGCCTCCTACATTCACTTGTATGGAAGGAACAAAAAGTATGGGAAGAGGAAGCAATAAGAAAGGGTCCTCAGTTCCCAATCCTGAGAACACTAATCCAGGAAAGGGAAACACAAAGGAAGACAGAATACATGCAATATCAGACACAGCACCAATAGACATAAAGCGATATCTCCAGAGCCTCATAAACGAGTTTAAAAATGAAGTATTTAATGAAATAAAGCAAGATATAAGTAGAATAGTTAGAGAAATGCTAAGCATTGCCCAAGAAAAAACAGATGGTGGAATGGAAGAACAGAAAAAAAGGGGAGAATTGTTTGATGGAGAAAATAAAGAAAACATAGAGCATGTGAAGCAGGTTCAAAGAGATTACCAGGAAACTAAAAACTCTATCGAAAGCTGGCATAACAGCTTGAAAGAAACTAAGGATAGATTATCTGAACTGGAGGACAGATTTGTAAGGTGGGAGCATGAAATGAAAAACTTCTTAAAAATAACAAGGAAACAAGCAGTAACAATACAAAGGCTAGAAGATGATAAGAGGATCTATAACTTAAGAAATTAAGAATGTAAAGGAAGAAGTAGGGACACAAACAAATGGACTACAAAAGCTATTCACAGAAATAATCCAAGAGAATTTCCCTAATTTAGCATAAAGTAAAGATACTCAGATGTATGAGGCATACAGGACCCCAGCCACCTACAACCCAAACAGAGCTACACCCAGGCATATAATAATCAAAATTCCAGAAATCTAATATAAGAACAGAATATTAAAAGCTGTCAGAGACAAGAAACAGATCACTTACAAGGGAACACCCATCAGAATTATAGCAGACTTCATGGCACAAACCATCAAATCATGAAGATCGTGGGGGGAAATAATTCAAGCTTTGAAAGATAACAACCTCCAGCCAAGATTAATGTATCCTGAACAACTGTCCCTAGAAATTGATGGAAAAACAAGGTGCTCCCAGGATAAAGAGATACTAGGGGAATTTGCGACCACCAATTGAACTCTACAGAGAATACTGCAGGATATTCTAAAAAAGGAAAATATCAAGACTTCAGAAATATTGGCAGAGAGGCCACAATGAATGGAGCAGAAAGTGAAATGAGGAAGACAAACTGACAACAAAAGACAGAAAAAGAGCTCAATAGAAATGAGGCAGAGAAGATTAGATGGTAGGAACAGCTATTTTGGAGAAAGCAAGACATCATAATAGCTAGTGCTGATTTAGTATCATCTTGCTTTGAAGTCCCATCAAGCTTTTATTCTTCTGTCTCCATCGGTCTTAACAGGTCGTATCTTATTGTATTTTATTATATGCGATAATATAAGCAAAAACTTTTATAGACAAGGAGATTATACAGAAACCATTGTTCATTTTCTGATAGTTGGTTCTAAATACCCTGTAATACTGTCATTCTCTTGAGTGGTTTTACATTGTCTTGATATGTTTGGTGCTTTAGTATACGAAGTTATACTTAAAGATTGTTTTTTAAAGTTTACTTTTTTTTTTTGTCTTTTTCCTTTTATCGTTACCAGGGATCGAACTCATGACTGCCTGCTTGCAAGGCAGGTGCTTATGCCGCTGAGCTAAATTAAAGATTTTAAGGAAAGAGACACTATGGTAACTACTTTTATGTCGGGATGTCTTGTGGTGAAGCACTGTTTTGCTTAAATGGTTATGCTTTGACCTGCGCTGTTTTGTTGTTATGTCATCTTTGATCTTAGTCTTCTTGTTTAAAAATTATTTACTTTTTAATTTTTTTCTTTTTAATTAAGAGAAAAATAGAAAATAGCAGTATACATTATTGCAACCTACTTTGATTTCCTATTAAGTTGATTTGAAACCCTGTATAGCCTCACCATCTTGCTTTGACTGATTTTCCTCTATTCTGCTTTGCTTGATAGTACCAAGTTTGAAAGTATAGGCAACAACTGTAAAGACAATAAGATTCATTATGATGCCCATTCCAGTTGACTATTATCTTCTTTTAAAGCCCTGTAATGTCTCCAATGTTTTGGTTTTATTCTTTACTGTTTTGTTTAATTTTATTATAACTGATGTTATAGGCAATTCTTTTTAAGATAGCAAGAGGCAGTATGGTAACCATTGTTGATCACCTAATATTTTGTTTTTACATTATCTATTATGTCCACCCTTTTGATTTGACTGACTCTGTTCTGTTATGTCACATTTGCCTTACTCTTTTCAAAAAAAGTAATAAGAACTGTGGGAGTAATAAAACCCAAAATGTGTAATTGTCGTTGTACAAAAGAAAGGAAAAGAAAGTGCTCTAAAGAATATAACTGCATATATATTTAAGTGTATACGATAGATAATGATATTACTGAGTTTTGTTGGATCACTGAACAAAACTTTTTGCAGTCTCACTGTTTGAAACTCCACTTTATATGCTTTAATTTTATAACTTGATCAACTATTTCTAAGATAACAATTTGTAATCTATTAACTAGTGATTGCCTATTGTTTATTTTTTCTGAAATTCTGTATAACTTGTACCCTTTTTCTGTTTTTTCTTCTTTTTCTCCTTAAATAAAAAAAAAAGAAATGACCAATGAAGACCTGAGGACTTTCTACAGATAGTGTCAACTGCTTTATTATGGAGTCCTCATTTCCCTTGTCTGAGGAAAGGTCACTGGATGAAGAGAAACCAAGTCTTCTGCTTCAGAAAGGGATGGACACTGAGACAGCTAAGAAGTGATCATTTTTTCTGCTCCCCTTTGTGCTCTATATCTTTTCCTCATGGTTAAGCAGAGCAGTCCAGGTCACAAGATCATCCTGGGCTCTCTGGCGAGCACCCTCCTCAGAGCTGCCTTTACCTCTTTGTTCCTCAGGCTGTAGATGAAGGGGTTGAGCAGTGGTGTCACCACACTGTACTGCAGGGATACCACTTGCTCCAATGCTGAGCCCGATGCTGGAGTCATGTACCTTGTAGGAATTGCACAGAGGAACACACTGCAATCAGGACAATTGGTAGGTGATATAAATTTTCCTCTTTCTCTCTCTCTCTATACATTAGTAAAGACATACTGTTTTTTTTATCTTGTGATGATTTTTCTTTGCCCTGCTATATGCTTAGTTCAAAATGCTGCCATTGTTCCCAACACGGGGAAGAAATTTAGGACACAAATTTGTGAGGGTAAACTCCAATTTTCAGAACAAAACCAGATCTCATGTTGCCCCGGTATCTATTTCAAGGATGCTGCATGTGTTTATATATTTATTTGCCTAGCACCAAAAGTTCTCCAGTTTTCTTCTGAGAACTCCCATTATAGGTTAATAAAATAGAAAAAACTTTAATCTTTTTCTAGACTTATCTTTCAAAATAGTTAACTGAGTCACAGAAAAGAAAATGGATTCTTTATAAACCAAAAGATAGTCCACAGCAGAGGCAGAGGTAGAGCCCAGGCTTTCTGAATTCCAAGATGAACCTTTTCCTGCTACATTACAGTGCCTTATCCTACAGACCAAAGGCACTTAGAGTAAAAAATACATGACATTTATACTTAGCACGCATACTACGACATACCTCAAAAATCCTGAACCATAAAAGATGGTGACCACAAGGACATGAGAAGAGCAGGTGGAGAAGATCTTACTTCGACCTGTGGCAGAGTTGATTCCCAAGGCTGTCATGATGATACGGCTGTAGGAACCCAGCAATGGAACAAAAGTGCCAAAGCCCAGCACCACCATGGTGGCCAGGGTGGAGACGATACTACTGTAGGGGTTGGAACAGGCCAACAAAAGCACTGGGGGTAGCTCACAGGCAAAACTGTGGACAAGGTTGGGGCCACAGAAGTGCTGCTGAGCTAGTAAGAGAGTGTTCATTAGGCTGGCACTTATTCCTAAGGCCCAGGATGCACCCACTAGGCCAGTACATACCCTTCTGTTCATAGCCACCATATACAGTAGAGGGTGACACACAGCCCGGAACCTGTCATAGGCCATGACAGAAAGAAGGCAGGCTTCAGTGGCCCCTGAAAATATGACCAAGAAAATCTGGGTGAAACACCCATGGAAGGATATTGCCTTCACCTTGGAAAGAAGGTTTTCTAACAGTTTAGGCACAATCACTGAGGAATAGAAAGCATCCAGGAAGGAGAGATGTCCCAGGAAGAAGTACATGGGAGTCTGGAGGTGGGAATCAGTACAGATAATTAGCATTATCAGCAGGTTCCCTGTGAGGGTCAGAAGGTAAATTACTAAGAATGCTACAAAGAGTAGTAGCTGAATCTGAGATTTGTTGGATAGTCCTTGGAGAACAAACACAGTGACTGAAGTCTCATTGCCAACTCCCATGGAGCACACAACAATCGCTTCAGAGGAACAAGAACTGATAAGAATGCTGAAATGATTCATCAGTAACAGAGTATGTCTGGAGATGAGGCATTTTGAGTAAAGCTTCAGGACTGACCCAGACAGATTATGCAGCAGGCTGCCCTGCCGGGTCCTCTCTTGTCAGCAACTCCTAGTTCAGAGCAGAATCCTGAGAGTGAGGGTGTAGAGATTCAGACCTGGAAAAGAAGGAGATGAGGACAAGGATTACCTTAAGAAGAGGAGGAAAGAAAGGAGCTGAGGGTAGACCTGAGGACCCAAAGAAGTTCTATTCTCTCTTCCAAAGGAAACTGAGTCAAACCACAGAAGAACTGACTGGCATTGTAGCAATTGCATGCAGCCCTAGATAATCCCAGGGGGAAGGACGGTGAGAGGATGGGAAAATAAAGAAGAGACAAAATCCGGGATCAGGTGGAGCCCTTACTCTCCTGATGGGAGAGAAGAAACTGGCCCCTCACTGCAGGGGTGTTTATTTATAACTTTTAGCAACTTAATGTCACATGACACACCGTTGTCCTAACAATTGTTCAGATTGTTTTGGGACTAGGTGTTCCCTGGGCTGAAGCAGCTTGTTCATGTGGCTTGTCCCAGGCACTCTTTGTTCTTGGGATGGTCATGCCCCAGCCTTGCAAATGCGGTCAATTTCCAGCTTCAGTGGCTCCCAACATAGCATAGTGAATCTGCAACAAACATTTGGCTTATCTCCTGCCTGACAGACCATGAAGAATGTTTAAATGATTGAGAGAATTATTGTGATGCTTGATGGTGGAGTGAATTATTTTTCTCTCCCTACAAATATGTGAATGAATTATTTAAGGCCTTTATTTTAAAAAGTGGTAAAATTTGATATTTTCTAAGGGTTGTTGTATCTTAATAATTCTAAGGATGGGGAAATGATCTTCCTTGGTGTCTCTGGTACTAAATATAAACCTCTTCTCCCCTTCTGTGCTAACACAAGCAGACAGCACATGACTGTGCTGGTTTCATGGAAGCCAGGCAGCAGAAAGCCCTTAAAATAGAGGTGAAGGCTGTGCACACCAGACATCCAATGAGCTTCTTCCAGGTTTCTGTGAATCTGTGATGTCCTTCTTCTGTTTTCATCACAATCCCACAGAATTTAACATGAGTCTACAAATATATGGCTATTTCCTGAATTGGTTCCACTGGGTTTTGATAAAGCCAAACAAGAATCAGGACAACTTCTGTGCTTTACATAAACACCCACTCTCTGAAAAAAGGAAACACATGGTAAAATGTACAATTAAAGGATTTATTCTGAGCAATTCACCTCCCTTCCTGGTAAGCGCCCCTGGCATGAGCCAGAAAGAGAACCAGCCTCTCCCATAAGCATATCAGTGTGGGGGTTGAGAATAAAACATCCTATCCCTCCCACCCCCTTTAGCAAGTGGGGGCAGAGGTCTGAGCATCTCTTGGGAGGATGACCATATGCAATATAGCAAGTATGGGACATTTCCTTCTATCTTCTGTTTGAAGGCAAATGTTTTCACTGTTTTGCTTTGTTCTAATTAACTGTTTTGCTCTATTCAATATCCTCTTTTGACTGGTTTTATAATGTTCTGTTTTTGGTTTGATTTGACTATACCTATTGAATAGACAACTATTGTGAAGATAATGAGATATACTTTGATAGCTATTACTGTTATCCAGGTATCCTGCTGTGAAGTTCTGTACCAACTTCACTGCATTGTCTCAATTGGCTTTGTTTTGTCTTGTTCTGTTGTATTTCACTACCTTCAAAATAAAATAAAAAAGGTTTTTTTCTGGATCAGAGAAAGGTAAATTAGCTGCCTTTCCTCCTCCCTAATGCTTATAAATGAAGTTCTGATTTCACCTTAGAAAGAAGATTTTCTAGCAGTTTGGGCACAACCACTGAGGAATAGAAAGCACACTCACAGGTTTCTGGTGTGGGTAGTTTGTAAGGAGATGGATTTCAAGATTTTTCTTCACCTGGATTCTCTAGGCCAACAGCTGTATGGCATTTCCCCACAGCTATGATTGGGGTCCTGGGGTGTTCCCTTGACTTTATCTTTGCTTTAGAGGATGTAGGGGAGGAACTTATGAGTAAGACTGTAGCCCCAGTGTTCTTTTGATTCTGCTTTCCAAATAACAAAGGCCAAAGGACTTGAGCTCAGTTCTAGACCTTGGAGAGTGAGGGAGCTCCCTGGAGAAACCTTTAAGGAAAGGCCTCCCTTGTTCTGAGTGGGTTCTCCAGGGACAAGTCCTCCTCCTCTGTGTTACTCTTATTTCAATGCATTACATCATACAAGATGGGTCTGAGTCAGTGAATAGTTTAGTTTTAGTTATTATCACCTAAAGTCACTGGTGTTCACTAGAGCTCTTTTTTCATGGCTTCTGTGACTTTGGACAAATGTCTAATGTCACATATTCACTACTATAGTATAATCCAGAATAGTTTTACTGCCCTCCAAATATTTTATTTTTTTCCTACACATCCCTGCCTCCCTCAACCCTTGACAATTTTTTTTATCTTCCTGTCTCTATAGTTGTACCTTTTGTTGAATGTCATAGAGTTGGGACATTGCTCTAGCCATTTTAGGCTTCTTTCACTTAGTAATATGAATTGAATGGCCCTTCATGTCTTTTCATGGTTGGTAACTCATGACTTTTTAGTGTTAAGTACTTTTTCATTGTGTTTAATGTCTTAAGCTTATCCATTTACCCATTGAAGGACATCTTGGTTGCCTCAAAGTATTGGAAATTATGAATAAGGTTGATAAAAACAGTATGTGTAGAGTTATTTTCTTTGATTGATTGGTTGCTTTTGGTATGGACATAAGTGTTCAGCTCTTTTGAGTAAATGCCAAGTAATATGATTGTTGGACTGTATGGTTAGAGGTAGCATAGTTTTGTAAGAAACTGCCAACTGGCTCCCAAAGTTGTACCATTTTGAATTCCTACCTGCAAGGAATGAGAGTTTTTGTTGTTCTATTTCCTCTCCAGCAAAAAGTACTTTTAAAAAATATTATACAGTATTTTCAACTTAAACATTATTCTGTTGAACACATATGGCAATGTACAATATTCAAATGTGAAGTTTAAAAAGCCAAAAATAATTATCCATTTATTCTGTAGTAGATTAGTGTTATGGTGGTATACAAAGCAACAATAAATCAGCACTCCATTCATAACATTATAGTATTATTGATCAACTGGATTATCAATTGATCAGACAGCAGAATTTGCTCCCACAGGCATAGAAGCAATGCAGGAACTCAGAAGTCAGTGCTCTTCTGATATCATGTCCTTACTCAGTAACACAAGGAGAATGAAGTGCATAAGCAGCAAATTCAGTATTTCTTACAGGCTAACATACCATTAAATCCAGGGCAAGTTCTCATCTGTGTCAGATTTCTGTTACTATAACAAAATACCTGAGACAATCAACTTGCCAAGAGAAAAGGTTTATTTTTTCACATGGTTTTTGAGGTTTCTGTCTATGATCAATTTATCTAATCCTTTTGAACCTTTGATGAGGCAGAATATCATGGTAGGAGTTCACGATCTAGGAAAAATCATGCGTCTCATGGATGGATTGTGTAAAGGAGAAAAAAAGAGACTAGGTCCCGGTGATTGCTTGAGAGCATTCCTCTAATGACCTAAAGACTTCTCACTAGGCTCTATGTCTTAAAGTTTCTACTGTATCCCACTAGCACCACCTGAAAATCCAGCCTTCATCATTTGAACCACTAGAAGACACTTAAGGTAAAATCTGTAGCATCATTTGATCACCATCTTATAACAATAAATGAAGTCAAGCTTGTCTGTGGTGAATTACATGAAATTCACCCATGGATCTTAGAAAAGGGAGATTCTTTTTAATGGGGACAAATGCAAATTTAAGTCTTATTTGAGAAACATACATAACAATTGGAACTTTACTCATTAAAAAAGCTGGGAATTAACAAGTGTTAGTCTTCAGGTATCCTTTTAGCTTCACAAAGATAATCTAAATGATGTACCAAAAAGATAAGGATCTAATTTGATTTTTTTCATATACTGAGCTAGAGATTCTACTACCTCCTGTACAGCTACATATTTCTGATTTATCATGCTGGCAATCTTCTCTTTCTGAGCTCTCTTTTTTATTTGCCTCCTTCAGTCTTTTTATTGCTATAGCATTGCAATATTGCTCAAAGTGCAGACAATTGTCTTGCTACCTTAAGTTCTTTTATGTTGAATATGTTAATATGGCTATTCATTAGTCTTTTTGAGTCTATATAAATGTTAGAAGAAATTTATTTTTATCTTTAAAAAACAGGAATTTGGATTGGTTTCACATTAAACTTATAGACCAAATTGGAGAAAGCTCAAGTATTTATAGTAGCCAAAATCTACCTTGAAAAGCACGAGTTGTTACTTTATTCAAATAATCTTCTATATCTCTTTGTGTGAATGTGTAATGAAGAAAATATTTTTTTTCCATTGAGGTCTTATGTGTTCTATAGAAGGTTTGTTCAAAAACCTAATAGCTTTCGAAAATAACATCTTATTGTTGATTATATTTTCTAGCTGGTTATGGCTAGTGTAAAGACACTCCATTGGTTTTGATAATTTGATCTTACACTTGTAAGACTGGCTAAACTCTCTTTTTAGTTTTGGAAGTGAATTATGTTGGGATTCTTAAGTGATGATTATATCAGTGGGTACTAATGATGTAATGAACATTTTCCTAATAAGTTAATAATATTGTCAGATAAACCTAATGGCAGTAGTAATAATAATAACATTGTTAAATAGTGGATGTGGCAGTTTGCAAGATTTTAAAAATTTCTGTCCTTCTAGACTCTACAGTAACTGTAAATTTTCAACATGAAGTACAATGTTTGCCATAGGGTTTGCTATATGACCTTGTCTAAGCTAAAACATCTTCTCTATTCTTAGTTTCTTAAGGGTTAAAAATAATTGTTAAAGTTCATCAAATG